CGAAACACGACTCCACACATTGTTGCCGCACACTTGCAAGGATAGGTGCCACGCTGGCCCGGCGCCTAGGTACAGTTGAAGTTTGAGAAACATAATCAATCAGTAAGCAACAAGTAAATGTAAATGTAAAAAGATACGAAGAAAAGAAAATAGTTCCTTACATCCTTTGGACCGTTCTTGGGATCTTTGAAATAGTCTTTGATACGATCGAACCGGTCATCGTCTTCATTTTTGTCTTGTTTGCTTGCTACCTTACTGTTTTCATCGTCGGAGTCTTGAGTGAGGTTGACCTGAAGACCAATAGGTTTCACAGCGCTGGTTGATGCGGTCAAATCTATTTCGGAGCGTCTTGGGCGTTCAGAGCGTTTGGTGACCTTCTTAGGACGAGCAGGAGGGGTTGGAGATTGGTGTGTGGGTTTTTTACGTGTTCGTGGAATGTTTGAGTGATTTGAATTCGAAAGCTCTGATTCATCGTCATCGTAATCTTTGTCATTGTCTTCAGTAGTCGCCGTGCTACGGTGCTTTCTCTTGCGTTTTGCAGATACAAGCTGAACCGAGGCAGCCAAATCAGACTCTTCGTCATCGTCACAGCGTTGAACGGCACGGCGAGAGTCCCCAGGGGTTCGGATCATCCTGGGTGCCTTTTGAGCAGGCAAAGGTCGAGTACTACAACAATTTGATTGAGAGTTGGCTACAACTGATGATGAAGACACGGTGTGTTCTGTGAAGGGCTTGGTGGAAAGGAAACTAGGTTGAAAAGATAATGAAAATGAGGTGTAAGAGAAAAAAAGGAAATTGAAGAAAGTGGATTCGGTGATTTGAATGATCCTTGGAGAAGCAAATGGAATAACGAAAGGTCAGGACTCACCGAAAAAAATTGACGAATCGCTTCATCCTGGGAGCCATAGTCGTATTGAAGCAAGCCTAGTGTGTAATCAAGCGTAGGGTCAGTATACGAAAGGAGATGTGAGGAGGCTAATTTAGCCAGGAAAGGTGGTGATAAGTACGCTTTCAGCCAGATCGGTAGTAGATAAGTGAAGCCCTTTGCCAAAAAGGGCAAAGGGCATAGAGTGTATATGTATGGGTGAGCTCCTTGCTCTTTCACTCAGTGAAAAACAGGTATGGTACGGGTACAGTACCCATTTTACCGGTACTCCTCCTGGCCAGTACCCTGTACCGTACCCGTATTCCAGGTACTTGGTATCGTACCGTACCTGGTAAAAAATTTGGCTCTGAAGCCATCCGAGTATCGTACCCAGCACCAAGGTACGGTACTCCCGGTACGGTACCCAGCAGAACAGATACGGTACGGTACAATACCGGTACCAGTATGGTATCTGTTGCTGCGTTGGTGGTGGTAAACTGAGATAAGCTTTAGGGTTCAAAGTTAAATGGGCACCATAGTAGATGATACAACAACAAAGTTTTGCAATACAACATTGAAAATTACAATTAAATTTGACACAGGAGAATTTCCGACATTACGAAACTTGAAAATGACTTTTGAAGGCTGAGAGATGCATAGTTTTGGCAGGGAACTTTGAATTCAAGGGTACCACAGCACCATTTCAGGGTAGATGTTAGTTGGGGTAGATTCTATTTTCGCATATTTCCCAATAACTTTAATTTTAAGCATCATCCTTATCAACTTTAGTGGTAATATCAGGTGGTAAACTGGGTAAATCCAATTTCGAGTATTTTCACATAAAATCGAATTTCATTTTAAGGGTACAACCAATAGAGTTAGAGTTTAGCTTGGCTGAGCAAAGTTGTAGAGCGGAAGCAGGCCTTTTTTTCTGTCTCTTCAGAATTTTTATATGGTCCCTTTTTCTTATCTTTTTTCAGCTTTGAAGGGAAAATGGCGGAAATTTGGGTTTTTGTGGTAAACAGCTAAGTTATAGTGCTGCTTGTGAGCTTGAAAGTTTGTATATTGTCAATTTGTGTGTGCTTAATCTGTCTATCAACTTTATTTTGGGGGTTCATTGAGAGTTATGCTGTGAAAAAGTTGTATGAAGGTGAATTTCGAGTTTGAGGGGTGTTTTTGTCTTATCTTCTTTTTTTGTGTGTGTTTCAATTTTGATATAGTCAAGTGTCTTTTTCCCACCTTTTTGTGGCCTTTTAGTTAGCAAAAATTATTATTAGAATTTAGAATAAAGCTTTTGTATCTTTTTATTATTATTATCTGGGTAAACAACTAATGAGAGTTGGGATTTTATAATATTAGACCCTTTATTCACTTTTAATAATTTCTTGTTGAGTTGTAAGCTCATTTGCTCATTTGGAAGGTGCCTGAGTGCGCCTAGATTGTGCTATTTTTGAAGTTATTGTCCTCTTTTAGCCTGGTTCTTATTAATCCAAAGACTTGTAGGTCTTAAATTTAATTCATCAGTAATCAAAGTCCCTGTTTAAGAAGGGCATTTCTTTCTTGTTTGAAGTCTTTCAATTCACCATCTCAAGACTTATTCCTCTTTTGATTGTGTGTGTTGTTGTTTGTGTCTTCATTCCTCCCCTTCTTGGCTCTGCTTTCAGCTGTGTACTGAAAGAGTTCTACACCGGAGAGATCTTTCACTGTGAATATAATGTATTTTTCCGAGGTGAAAAATGATTACATTTATTTCACAAAATGATTAAAAATGCATTAATTCTGCATTAATTCTGCATTTTTCTGCATTAATTCTGCATTATTAATCATTTTGTGCATTAATGTCAATCATTTTTCACCTTGGAAAAATACATTATTTTCACAGTGTTTCTCAATTGCAGGCCGGATTTGCACCGATGAGCAAGGTGGACTAAAGCCTTGAATGACCAAGATGTTGGTCTGTAGTAATTTATGGATGGGAGAAGGGGTACCTCTTACTGGTGATTTTGCAGAGGTTGGAAAGGTGATTGAGTTTGCCAAGAAGGTGATAATGAAAAAACCCAGAAAAACTTATGTTTCAACTTGATTTTGACTTTTATTTTCTCTATCGTTTACAATTTTATCTTACTTATAACCTTTTCATTACAATCGTTTACAACTTTACTTTACTTTTTCTTTACACTCCTTCAAACCACAAGTTGTTTTTACATTTTTTTTCTTTTTTGACACAAATATTGTTTTTAGGGTCAGTAACACTGGTAGCGCTGCGAATAAGAATTACGCTATGAGCTACTTTTTTTTGGCACCCAAACTTGCCAACTACCGCTAACACTACTGAGCTTAGCGGGTTTTTCTACAAGCCACACCATTGCTTTCCTGGCTAGTAGCGCTGGGTAGCGCGGCGAGCCAGACTTGGTTAGAGATGAAAGCAAAACATCACAAAGCCTGGGCACCCGCTCTCAGATATGACATAACTCACCGGATGAACGCGTGGAGCCACACTTTAGAAGACGGGTCATTGTCAGATGTTGGCACAGTCAATGAGGAATTGATGGAGCAAGCTTGGTCGGATTCTGAAGCAAACAGTGATTCCGTACATCATGCCCGTGGACAGGGAAGTACCAAGTATGTTGGGACGTAACCAACTCAAATGGCATGGAACAAGTGACGGCGGTGACCGGCAGAAGAATGTTGTCACATCTTGCGCCAACAGGTAGAAACCAAGTTAGAGCCCCTTTTGCCAACAACACTAGTTATCACAAAAACGGGAGACAGCAAAATCAAACCTACCACGATAATCCGAGAACCAGCTTCACTTTTGATAACCACAAAGGAGGAAGCAACGGAGATAGAGGTAGAGGACAAAGAGGTCGTGGTGGAGGACGAGGAAACACCATGAGAGGAGGTGGTCCAAGTGTGAGAGGTGGTGGTGGTATGGTTCCAAGTGCTACAACTTTAGTGAATGGAATCATGGTACCGAAGTTTGGGCCAGGAGCCTTTGAGGTGTTGAAAACGGCACAAGCAAATAGTAGTAACGCCCAACTGTGAGTTAGAAATATTGTGATTGCCTTTAATTCTACCCATCGGGAAAATGTTTTTGTCTTTTCTTTGAGATAAAAAGGGGAAACCTAATGATACCAAGTCCACTTGTGCCACTTTCCTTAACATAATAGACAACTGAGAGCTGAGAGAACTGTTTGCAATCCACAGTCCCATGAGTAACTTGTCTCATCAAAGACGAGAAACACCTCCAAAAGACCTACAGACCAACGAAGGAACCGTGACAGAGAACATGAACCTCCCCGTAGACAACAAGAACCACAACCAATTACTTACCCTAGGTTCCCGGTTAAAGCCAGACCAGAACTGGTAGTAGAGGAATGGATACGGTTGGCAAAAAATTGTGGTTTGGAGAACAAGGCAGTGGAAGTCATTAACGGCCTGATAGAAGGGTTCTCACAAGGGATCCCCGAACACTATTTGAGTAACAGAAGGTGGGAGACACCCAATAATCATGCTTCTGCACTTGCGGTCAAAGAAGAAATAATGAACAATTTGTATGCAGAGAAGAGAGCAGGACACATCTACGGACCTTTTAGACACAAAGAAGTATACGCCAAGTGGGGCTTCTTCCGCTCAAACCCAATGGGGAGCGTGGTGAACAATGATGGTACTCTGAGAATGATAAACGACTTATCATTCCCACACCTGTGGCGCCTTAAGCCTTCGGTACCTACCCGAAGTTAAATGTGCGACTACCTACGGATAGCTTCCGAAACGCATTATGGCAGATACGCCAGATAAGCCAGACAGATCCTGGTTGTACATTTTGTCTCAAGGTAGAAATTTTTTTGAATTTGCACCATCAAGAAACACATTTTTGTGCATTTGAAACTACATTAGGCCTATGAGAAATTTAAAAAAAAATCCTTCCAAGACTTGAAATTTTCGAAAAAAAAAGCCAGACCTGTCTGACACACTTTGAGTGCGTCAGACAAGTCTGGTGGTCTTCCACAACAACACAAAAGTCCAGACATGTCTGGCATCCAGATCCGTCTGGGACATGTCTATACAGCCAGACAGCTCTGAGCAGACCTGTCCAAGGATGATGGACATACAGCAGACAGGTCTGGACCTTCAGACAGGTCTGGTGATACCCAAATCACCAGACTTGTCTGATTGAAGAAAACCAGACCCAGGCTGTCCAATAAAGATATACAGACCTGTCTGACTGCTTCTCATTCTATCAAACTTTGAGCAATCCAATATCAAAAATGCGCTCAGCACAATAGTTGAAATCCCACACCGGATCAAGATACTTGTCACAGCCAACAAAAAACAACTCAATTTCAAAGTGAGCCAATTTCAAGAAAAAATCAAATTCAAAAAATCAATTCAATACATTTAAATAAATTCGTTCCAATTTCAATAATATCACTTTATAAAAAACAACTTCAACATAGAAGAACATGGACACAAGAGAAATAATCAAACATCTTGCCCCTCTTCCTCCATATTATGGTCTTCACTATCACTACCACCAGTTTTTTCTTTTTCGTTCATATTGTGATCTTCATCCATTGATTTCTCAATCTCTGCCAAATCTTCGGCATTAAGAGCCACTCCCTCAGAGTCTGATTCTTCAACTCCTTCGATGTTTTTCAAACGAAAAAGGCCAGCCTTGATGTCTTCCACCCACTTTTCTCGATCCTCGGTCCGCATTTTCTTAAAACCTAAAATGAGGGCCTCCTCAGACAAAGTAACACCTTCTAAACAAACCATTTCAACAGGGACTTTTCGTTTTATCAAAGCACTCTTGGGGTCTTCAATCAGGGGGAAAGATTGAGTCGGTTTTCGGCCAAGAGCCTTGACTGTGACAAAAATAAACGTCAATACGACAAAAATACATGTCAATACATATTCATGCCAACGAAACAGAGAGGTAAAGTGAAATCAAATCAGAATATACCGGTCAGTTGAACAAGCATTCTCCCAAGTCGGACCTTGACAATGTCACTGCGTTGAGGCTTCTCACTGCGTTTCCTCTTGAGTTTTTTTACCGGTCCTTGTGTAGCTTCTGCAATGGCATCAGCCATCGCAGAACCTTGCGCGTAAGTAGCGAAAACCCGAGCCAAACCGCTGGTCTTGTTGGCCCATCGTGCAACTTGTCGGTGGGTAGTAAACTGCTTTGTCCATCCCAATTCGTTTGATTTATCTGGAGTGAGGGTGCTTGATCCCACAAGATAATACGCAAAATTGAGGCGATTTGCTAGACATGCAAGCTAAGTAAAAAGAAACGTCACAAGCATATTAGACAAGTTGATGATCAGGCATTGGTAAGGACAAACAAATATGAAAAGATGTGTTTGACAAACGATACTCACCTCATGTGCATGCTTTTGAAATGCTCGCAGTGACTTCCTTTGAAGGAGCCCATCCGAGGGGCCTGCCTTTGGCTTTGAGATGTTAGCTGAAACACGTTCATCGTCCACCATCTTCTCATATATAGGTCGATATTTTGCCTCTTCTTCCACAGTTAATCGTCTAACCTTTGGTAATGGTACAACAATATCTCCAACATCCTCATCTTCATCATCAAGATCTTCGCTCTCACTCGGTGCAAACGGGTTGGGCGCTCCAGCTAAGGCATAGAATAGTGACGGGGAGAAAATTGCTTTGTGATCGTCGTCTAGAGCTTTCCAGCGATCAGAGTTGATTCGGTTTCTTTTGCCTAACTGAACACCCCCATCTTCCTGGCCTTTTCCGGGCACTTTTGCACATGTCAGAAACTCGAAACTAAAGCTAGAATCCAGAAAAACTTACTAGACAAGGATAGAGCGTCTTTTGCATACGCTAGGTACATGTCAAGGTTCCTAGAAGGCTTCTTGGGTGCGACTTCGTCACTGGATCAAATCGGAAACATCATCAATCAGCATGCCATGTGAATGAATCAATAAACAAAATAAATGAATCACATTGCTTTCTTGATAATCCGTAGTTGCACTTTATCAACCAGTGCTAACATCAACAACTCATGCTCGTATTTTAAATGGGCAAGTTGTGCCTTAGCTTGAACTTCGCTGCTTGCTCGAGTCCCAGTGGAAGATTTGTACTTTTTGATAGCAGTGCGGATACGACCAGCAGGCCAGGCGTCCATATGTTGTGTGTAATTGTCAACTGTGAGATTATCGGCTTCATCTAAATCTGAATCGTCTTGGTTGATTGTTGAATCGTGGTTTTGGTTGGTGTGTGTTTCATCTTCATTCTCCTCACGATGAGTTTCAGTTTGAGTTTCAGTTTGAGTGACATGTTTAGATTTTTTGCTGACTC